ACGATAAGTCCCTAAGAAGGGTGCAGTCTTCTTTTGAAGTGCAAGAGTGATCAGTTGTTGTAAACATGCAACCGAGCCAAGTTGTAATTACTTCTGAATTCCTCATTGAAAAAAGAGTGAAACGAACAAGAACTTAGCTGTAAGGTAGGAATTGCATAACAATTGGATAGGCCTCGGCTTATGAGGTGGTGTCCGTCGACCTGCTTGAGTCTTCGGGCTTTGATGTAGCGGGAGGTCACACATGGTACTTCATCAGATTGTAGGTGCTCCACTATTTTTCGATCTTTTTATCGTTTCATGGTGGTGAGGGTGTAATTACTCTTACCGCCTACTCTGTTTATCTTGTACGGACCTTCCCAGATGTGATCCAACTTTTTGGAGCCTTGAAGGCTTTTCTTATGACTAGATCTTCGAGCTGGAACTGTTAGATCTTGACCCTTTTGTTGTAGATGGAAATGAGCTGTTACTGGTAGGCTGCGATGTAGGTGATTATCTGCTCGCGCTTCTCCTCTACCAGATCTAAGCTTGTGGCTATCTCCTTAATGTTCTGCTCAATACTTGGTAGTAGAGCGGTGATACTTGGCTTGATAACATTGGGATGGATGATTGCTTCTGAGCTAAATGCCAAAGAGGAAGAAGTCTTACTGGTTGCTCGTCTTTTGGTGGTGCGATATGCCTATAGGCATCCGGGGAGTTCATCTGGCCATTTTTTCTTCTTGTTGGTGAGGGATTTCTTGAGGCAATCGAGGATCATTTTGTTGGATGCTTCGGCCTGCCTATTACCTTGAGGATATCTTAGCTGTTGTCGGTGACAATGGGTTAAGAGATGCCAAATCGACAAATGATGTTCCTCTAAATAAAGAGTTCTATGTCCGTGTGAGTCGTGGTCGCCATGAGCTCTGCTTCTACCTATTTGGTGAAGTAGTCGTTTGCCACGATCATCATGCCTCTGTCCCTAGTAATAGGCGGCATAGGTCATACCAGGTTGATTGCCCACTGCATGAACGGCCAAGGATTCATCTGCAGATGTAGCTCGCTGGTAGGCAGTGATGGTACCAACTTGGTAGCGTTGACAACGGTCGCACTTTTGTACTAACTCTTTAGCATCTTGGTGCATGGTAGGCCAGCAATAGCCTGTGTTAAGAGCCTTCGGTGCTAAGGATGACCTCTGGAGTGATTTCCACAAATGCTTTTGTGGATTGAGCTTAGAACCTTCAAGTTATCGGGAAGCGCTAGGCAGCGGAGATGTGGTTTGGTGTAAGATTTTCGGATGAGAATGCAGTTTCACATGTAGTAGCGTGTTGCCTTGATTTGAAGCTTCCTAGACTTCAATATTTTCCTGGGGAATGTGCCATTGACCAGGTAGTCTGGGTGACAAGGACTACGCCTGCTCTCGAACCTTTGTAGTTGGATATGCCGTAGACATACAAATGCCAGAAGTCTCCATCGGGTGGGGCATGCGCTGTTAGGGCGTGTTCGGCTACCTCTGGGGCATCATTGGGTTGCTCTGTTATGTCGTGAATATGGGGCAGGGAGCCGTGGAGCTATGGCCATGTTACACGCATCAAGAGATGCTCAACTGCCAGTATATGTTGCTCCTATGTAGAATCTTTTGGGGTGACGAAGACAAAACTTGCTTCCGAGTGTGTACTTCCAATGTTCGTTTGCCATTGGCGTGTCTTTTGGGCCGAGTTGTTTCGTTCGTCAGAAAACTTTGCATTCACCAGGGTCTTACGCCTTTATTGTCGTGTGTCTAGATTGGGCAGAATAGTGCGTCATGAGGATGGCTGCATGCGTTTGAAGGTAAAACTTGAGTTTCTGGGTTACAACAACTATTGCCAAAGTTAGCTTTTGAATTTCTAATAGCATCGATGAGAGCTTTTAAACTGTAGAATACATGTAGTCGGGCCCCCAGCTCTTATCGCATGATGGTAAAGCTTATTGCTGCTTTAGATACCGTCAAACATGCGAATAAGTCATCCATTGCTTCCGGTTTGGATAGTATAGAGGTGATGTCAGGTACTTCTTCAAGTCCATAAATGTGTATCGGCAAGCCTCGTCTTAAAGTGCATACTTCTCTGCCAGAGCGAAAGAGTTTGCCAGAGTTAGATCTTCTTTCATGATCAATTTTTCGAATAGCAGGTGGTCTGTTGGAAGTCCTTTTTGAAAGGCTGCTTTAGCTATCGAGTCATTGCATCCGACTATCATTGCCTTCTCTGCTTTGAACCTCTTCACATAGTTGCGAAACGACTCATTTCGGTTCTTCTTGACATTAAACAAATGGTCAGACTTCTTTTTGATCTAGCGATGGGATGAATATTCTTTGGTGAAAACCAAAGAAAGTTCGTTGAAACTCCGGATGGATTGTGGCGGCAGGGTGTAGAATCAATCTTGCACCTCGCCTGGTAGAGTGGTGGTGAATATCTTGCACATGAGATTGTCATTGTTTTGATAGAGGATCATTGCACTTCAGTAATGCTTTAAGTGTCTCTCCGGGTCTTCATCCCCTTTGAAAGATGTGAAATGTGGCATGTTGAACTCGCGTAGAGGCTCTACCTGCTCGATCTTGTCCTTGAAGGGTGACTTGTTTATGTTGGTCATGTTCCGTCATAGTGCCTCATCGACGACCTCGTTACGTTAGAAATTACATAATCGTTTGGCCAATAATCTCTCTACTTCTTCTTGAATTTTTTTTTGTTAAGGTAGCGGATCTCTCGGCTGCCTCCAGCCTCGACTTGCTGGTTTAGGCTGCTCTTCCATGTGTTTGGCTCGTCTATGTCTCGGATGCGGTGTGTGTGGGCATCCCTAGTAGGCAAGCGAGTTCTTCGTAGGCTGCCAATTGAACTTAAGCTGGATTGAGTGACTGCTTCTCTTCGTCCGTCATGCTGCCTACTCCGATGTGGGATAGATGATGCTTCTTGCGGGCTTAACTGCAAATGAACACTTTGCCTGGAAGATTGCTCATGTTGCCTGGAAGATTGCTCATGTTGACTAGTCGAGAATGCACGCTCATCCTCGCGTTAAAACGAGAGTATACGTTATCTCGGGGCCCAATCGAGTGTGTATACTGCCCGAATGCTTGGTTCATGGTTGGTCGAGTGGCTGCTTGTCAGGACGCTGCTGAAAAGGTTCTTTGTCTGCCCTTGTCTTACTTCGGGACACCTCATTTGGGGCACGTTGCATCTTAGTGTGCTGCAAGAGCTGGTTCACCAAGGTCGTCTGTTATGCAAGGGTGCTCGTCAACTCTATAACTTGTCGAGACAACTGTTGTTCTCCATTTGGGTTGGAATAGCTTGGAAGGAATACGTCTCCTTTAGCAGTAGAAGTGGGGTAGACTTCGGGAGAGAGATTTGAGTTGGGAAAAGTCAAATTTGAAGAAAAATATGGTGAAAATGCTTTTGGTTCGATCGTTGGTCTGAAAATTTGGAGCCGAGATGGTTAAACTAATCTTGGATTGATTTGGGCTACTTGGAAGGCCACGAGAGCAGACTGGGCCGCAGGAGCAGGTTGGGCCACGAGAGTGGGCTGCTCGGCAAGAGTAGGTTGGGCCACGGGAATAGGCTGCTTGACGGGGGTAGGCTGGGGCACAGGAATGGGCTGCTCGGCGTATGGCATACGTGGGTGCGAGGCTAGGGCTTGACTTGGCAACGCGTTGGGCTCGTGTTAGGCTTGGAGTGACATGGCTTGGGCTGTGGCTTTGGTGTCGTGGGCCTTGGATGGCACGGCTTAGGCTTTGGCCAGTGCAAGCTTGGATGACACGGCTCGGGACATGGTAGCAGTGCCACAGACCTCGCTGCGGGTAGTGGTGACTATGGTGGCCACCGCAGTGGAGCCCCGTAGCGATAGTGCCACTCCTATGATCACATTTAGCCTCGTGGATCACCGTGGTCCAATTTCTTGAATATTGGAATTTTCACTTGTGGAATTTTCTAAATTTCTAGCCATTGTAATTCTCTTTTACGTTTTATCAAAGAATCTTTGCAAATAAAAAAATTCTAAAAATAAGAACGTATGAAAAATCTACAAATGGGAATTGTCACTTGTGGAATTTTCTAAATTTCTAGCCCTTGTAATTTTCTTTTACGTTTTATCAAATAATCTTTGCAAATAAAAAATTCTAATAATAAGAACGTATGAAAAATCTACAAATGGACAAAAAAGTAGAAACATTTTGATGGAGTCTTCTACGAGTGTGTGACTCAGTTCTTAATGAAAGCACCAATTTGTGGATGCAAATTTCTTCCTCCTTGATCTTGAACAAAATTGCACCTACAAAACAATTAACACCTTTGGGGAAGGCCAAAAGCCTCACGCACCCACGATGAATTAGGGGGGGGCTTTGGCCGAAGAACCTCCGATGCCAAAGTTAGAATGTAGAGAGAAAAGTGTTTAGAGAGATTTTGTAGTTTTGCTAGTGTGGACCTAGGTTTTTAGAGAAAATGGGGTTCAATAAATAGAGCATGGCCGGTCCCCCTTTTAGAAAAGGTGGCCGGCCCTTTGGGGTATTTTTGTGTGAAATGGATGATTTAATTGGTAATTAATGGATTAATTAGGAATAAATCCATTAATTAGCCAATTAACTCAATTTATATGGAATGTTTTGAAGGTTATGAAATAATTACCTTGTGGAAAATATAGGATGAGGATAGAGGAAATAACTTTGAATTTGTTACCTATTTTGGGCATTTTTGACTTGATTGAGGGATGATTGTCCACTGCTAGCGCGTAGGAATCCCGATGTGCCTTGAGGGTAATTTTGTCATTTTCACCCAAAAATCCACATGTCGCCTCTTGATTATTTTTGGCTCCCCACAAATCATAAAGGAGAATTCATTGCTCAACTTTTGGAGGAGTGTTTGGTGGAGTGGGGCATATAGAAGGTGTTAACTATTACGGTTGACAATGCTTCGGCAAATGATTACGGTTTAAGGGATTTGGTGCACCGAATAAGTGGGTGAGGGATTCCTAATGCTCTTTTGCATGATGGAAAATATTTGCACATGAGGTGTGTTGCTCATATTCTTAATTTGGTGGCGAATGATGGGATAAAGATGTTGAATACCGCCATACAAAGCATTCGTAATGCGGTTAGATATGTAAGATCTTCCCCTCAAAGGTTGGAGAGCTTTAAAACGTGTGTTGAGAAAGTGAGAATAGAAAGCAAAGGGCTTGTGATTTTAGATGTCCCTACTAGGTGGAATTCTACATTTTTAATGTTGGAATTAGCTTTGAAGTTCAATATGGCTTTTGATAGGTTGAAAGTAGATGATGGTCATTACCTTCCTTACTTTACTAATGAAAATCATGATAATATAAGGGAAGGGCCACCTTCAACTTATGATTGGAGTGAGGCGGGAATATTTGCATCCTTTTTGAGACCTTTCTATGAAGTCACTTTAAAAGTGTGTTGTTCTAATACTCCAACAATTCATACTACTTTTGGTGATTTGTTTAAGATCAAAAGTCTCCTCCTTGAAAACAAAGATAATGAATTCTTGTCTATGATCTCCATGTTGATGCAAGAAAAATATGACAAATATTGGGGTTCAATTAAGGATATGAATCAATATGTTTTTCCTGCACTTGTGCTGGATCCTCGCCATAAATTGGAGAAGGTGGTTGATTATTATGAGATACTATATGGCGATGACGAGGAAAAAGTTGAAATTACAACCAATGTGGTGAAAGATTTGTTGTTTGATCTTTACAAGATTCATGAAGAGTTATCTTTTGATGCACAACAAAGCACAAGTAATGGTGGTGGTTCTCAATCGGCAACTACAAGTGGAGATCCTTTATCAAGCATGACAGAGATTGAAAGAAAGTTGAAAGAGAAAAGTGAAATGAGAAAAGCATAGAGAGCCCGTATTGTGCACAATGATTTGAATAGGTATCTTTCGGATCCTAATGAAGGGGAAGAAGAGGCAAACTTTAATATCTTGAATTGGTGAAGGGTGAATAGGCTTTCTAAGTATCCTATTTTGGCACGAGTTGCAAAAGAATTTTAGCTATTCCTGTATCAACCATTGCTTCGGAATCCTCATTTAGCACAAGTGGATGAATAATTGATCCATATTGTAGTTCTTTGGGTCCAAAAATGGTGGAGAATTTGATATGTACACAAAATTTGCTTAAGTAAATTCATGTAGTGTTACATCATGAGCCAACCATTGAGGAGATTGAGTTTTGTGAAGAAGTTGAGAAAGGTAATTTTACTTATTGCATTTGGTTTTGTTAGACTATTTTAATTAGATGCTATGTTGCATGCTTACTTTACATCATGTTTTTTTTTTTTATTTGTATGTAGAAATGGCAAGTTGAAGCTCAAAGAAAGGTGCTATGTTGCCTCTTAGGCCGCTGTTGACCCTAAAAACTACCAAGCCTACGTGGCGCGCAGGCCAAGTAATTAATAAGCTAACTACGTCTTTTGGTTGTGTGCGAGGCGTGCCAACTTGACGGCCAAGCTCAGTCAATGAGTAAAATTTGTTGATGTCGCGTTGGGCGTGCTGCTGACTTCTGAATCTCACGACTACGGCCGAGGAAGGAACACATTTCGGCCTTCGAGTTCTAGAGCTTGAAGAGAAGGCTACTAGTTCTGCGAAATTCACAAATCGTTGGCGCCAAATTCGGTCACAGTGATTATATTCGTAAAAGTATAAGCACGCCGAATTGACACCAGAGTATAGGGACACAGATACTCAAAACAGATATATGTCTTGATGGTAAACGTGGTTCGACCGTCAGAATGCCAAACTCTAAAGCCTACTTGTGAATATCCAATCATAAAACAACTTGGCATTCGACGTGTCGAGCCCTAGTAAATTGTAACACCTTACTTTGCCGAGAAGGCTAATGAGATGACCTCTACCAATAAGGATTCGAAAATCCTTCTCGACCGAGACTTGGATAGATAACCAGTTTGCCTCGACGTAGTGTTGTTTATCCAAATTGAAGGTGCTTCGCGATCAGCTGATTCTACGAGGACAGTGCTGCTTATCCAAACTGAAGATGTTTGTCGGTTGCCTTCACAATGCTGTTTATCCAAACTGAAGGTGTGTTGGTGAAAAAGAAACTAAAAATCTCAAGGTTATTGAGAAGTTTCGCGTAGAGCGAGGGTTTGCACAAGGCAATTTGTGTGTTGAATTGGAGAGAGCTTGAATTATGCACCCCTTTCTTTATTTATAGTAGCAAACCTGCTTCCGATCGAATCAAACCTATACTTGAATTAGGACTCCTTACCCTGATCCAATCTTATCTCAGTCAGTCCTACTCCTATTAGGATTTTGAACTCAACCCCTTATCAGGCCGTATTTATTCCCAAATTTAAGCATCCTCATCCTGCTGAGACTCTTTGTTGTATCAGGATTCAATTACCCCATCCTGATAGGATACGGCCGGCCCCTGAGCAACGCTTCCGGGCCGAGAACAATTCTCAACTTGGCCTAAACCAACACGGCTGGCCCATAAACAATGCTTCCAGGCTGATAACAATTTCTAAACTCGGCCTAACCCAATAATTTGGGTTCAAACATTGCCCCCTCGCTTCTGAGGTCATCGACCTACACTCCTTGGTTCGAGCCTTGACCTTGAAGAAGCGAAACCAACCTAAAATGAACATTGAACCCTTCTCAGGAAATACCACCATGCGTATTTATGAGACATGATCCCACGATCTCGATTCTCCCAACCGTCCTGCCACATGTTGGTCATTTGGTTAACCTAGCAGCTCTTAATCATGACCCTCGAAAATGTGCAACAGTCGAAATGTCTCTTTGACACTAACCTACCGCAACACGCAATCGTGCATCCTCAAACCGCGAAAACCTCGATCTTTTTGTCTGGATTCACTGAATATCTACAATGATTAGCAACTTTCTCACTTGATTCTATCCCCAATTTTTAAAATCAAACGTTTAAACTTCCTTCCAAAATGCCTATAAATACCTGAATCATTTCCATTCGCACGTTACGCTTTCTGAAACCCTTAAAACCTTCTTGCCATTTTGCTTTCGAAACCCAGAAAACCCCAAGCTCTCAACCCAGAAGTTTTCGATTCTTCATCAATGACCTCCTTCATCTCTAAGCTCTCCGACGAATGTAACAAGTGCAAAGACTTCATTGACCGAAGCGCTGTCAAAACTCTGCGTTTCGAGAGTGATTTAAGCGCCACTCATCAAATCCTAGGACCACTTTTCAAGGATGCAGTGCCATCATCCATCATTAATCTCTTCAAAGACCACTGTTTGACACCCTTGCTGCAATGGTTTGATTAGTCGAAGTGGTGTCTTACGAAGCCTCAAGGAGCTTAGCCTCTAACCCACGCGACATGGGCGACCTGGGTCGAACGGATGGAAAAGTACTTTGGCAAAGAATGGGAGGCTCTCGGCATCCACGATGCCATTAAACTTTCGACCATGGAAATTGCCATAGACAAAGAACTCTTTATGGCAGTTCTGAGCTTTTGGTGCTCGGCCACCAACACCATGATCCTTCCCTTCGGCCCTATTACCCCCATCATCCTCGACATTTTAGCCATCCTTGGGACCTCTCCCTCGGGCTTCCCAGTAGATGTCGCTCTTTTTGGGTGCTCGTCGAATCTTGATTTTAAAGCACTATTCGACAAACGGGCTGTCGAGATACTGAGCCAAGAAGGTCAAGAGCCTTTAAAAGAAGAAGTTCAGAAGTTGCATAAGAAATTCTTCAACTACAACACCCTCATCCTTCATTTTGCTGGTCGAGGGGAGAAGAGTCTGCGAAAGGGAAAACATGAAGCCTTTATATTTTACTGGTACAACAAGTTTATTTGTTGTACTAAGTCAAATAAATGCTTGGTCTAGAATATGCCGGTGGTTGAAGCCCTGGCTAGTGGCCATTCCATAGTGCTAAGTCCAGCTATCCTTGCCAACCTCCTGCTTTGTCTGGCCAAGACGACCATCAGCAAGATCGATCGGCACTAGAACGGACCTCTCTGGGTATTCTAACTTTGGCTGCAGGTCTATTTTTCCACACTTCGGCCAAAGATCCCCAACTTTCAGTCTATTGTAGCATTAGACCTTCAGTTGGCCTCTCGACTAGCGCCTCTTCACCAGGCCGAAGAAGTCTTCAAATACTTCTTCGGCTTAAATGTCCTTTAAGACGACGAGTTTTTGATATGTCGCCGTCAAGAATACCATATTTCCCTCAGGCTTTCATCATCAACATGGGATGAAATGTGGATGCTGTTCTTCATCAAAACTGGGGGTCGTTTGTGATAACATGCGACCTTCCCCTTGGCTATGATGCTCGCCGAGCGAGCTGGAAGGTGAACCACCCCCACTTCACTGCTGGACAACTCGGTTACCTCCAAGGATGCCCGATACCTCTACTCACTTCCTACTCTCTCCTAAGCCGATGACGTTTCTCTGGTTCTTCAGAAAGAGAGTGTAGAGATACCGAGAAAGAGTTCCAGGAACGGTGCAGAAAATTTCACCTCCGATTGGCTATTCCTGAATCTCTCAGCACTGACACTTTCGGCGACTGGTGGGAAGGGTACACTTATGACTTCTTCGATGCTTCAGTCGAAGATGTGGTCAACATAATTCTTGGCAACCGACACCATAAAACTCCCACCCCTCAATCCAAAGAGACAACCTAAGGTATATGGCTATCTTTACCTTTAGTCTTCAAACACTTAACTCTATTTTACCAACTTGACTTCGCTCTTTTAGGCGATCAAGTACTGAAATGAGTGGACGTGATCACCGCTGCTGCGGCCAAGAAAAAATTACCCCTTCCTCTAAGACAACTAAAATTGCTGTGCAAACCCCGCCGAGCAAACGGCCTTGCCAGGAAACCAAGACCGCAGCTGAAGCTCCTTGTCCCAAGAAACGCATCAAGAAATTGGCGAAGAAGGGAGAATGGGAAATTCATGTTATCTCCAGCCAGACCACTGGAGCGACCACTCCTAGTACCTCTCATCCTGCTCTTGTTGTTCAGGTCTCAACGGAGAAGCAGCCAACTCTTACTAGCTCAGCACCCCAAATTCAACTCGTCCCTAATGTCCCTGAGGTCATGGTTGAAAGAGTTATTGTACCGCTGGTCGAAAAGCCTATAGCTCCGGGGCTGACCATTGCACCCGTCTTGGAGGACGTAACTCTTTGAGTCAGGAAAAATCTCCCTAAAAATCCAAAACAATCAATGATCATCTTAGAAGAGGTATGATTATGTTGTTGATAAATCCATTTTCTCGTTAAATTCTAACAACCTTTTATTTCAGGATGACGAGGCGACTGACCACACCTTCTCCTATTGAGCCTCCCCCTGTGGTTGAGGCGACTGACCAAGTCGATCCTCCTGCAGCCGATCGTGGAAAAGGCCTCAAGTTGAGCCCGAAGTGATGACAGAAACACTAAGTCACCCACAGGATCAAGGCCTCGGTGTTCCCCTTTAAGAAGCGACTTCGGCTTTTGTAAGACTCGATCACTTTCTCTTGTTAATTTTAAATAATGAGTCTAAACTGAAAAAATATTACATGTCAGGTGCCCAATTATTCATTTCACTGAAAGTTTTATGCGCCGAAGGGCGTTATCTATATTTTTTAGCCACCTCAGTGGCCGTCAAATGTAGATAACCTTTATCAGCTGCGTGAATTAAGAAGCAGTCTAAAACATTGGGTTCGGCCATTAAGCTCTCTAGGTTTAATCAATGAACTAGGAGACCTGACCGAAATCTCCTCTTAGCAGGTCTAAAAACAAATTCTCTCTACTATATTCTTTTACATTCTCCTTTTGCCTAAATTCTTTTCATATGCAGCCTTCATAGGAAGTCGAGTTCGATGCTCTTCTTTTGAACACTTCGGGAATGGCCGGCCCTTCGGTAA